TGGCGGGCAGAAAACCGCCACGCGCCCCGAGCGCGTGGCGGGAAGAAAAAATGTACATCGCACGCCACGGGGCGCGCGACAGACAGTAGGGCAGCGGAAGCAGGCGAGCCCACAGGCCAGGAGCGACACTGCTCTGATAGCATGTCACAATAGTAGCTAGAACAAGGAGCCATAGCTAGGGTTTACCTAGCTAGGCAAGAGAGAATTAGGCAAAAGAGAGAGGGGGTTCACTAGAAAGCAGCAGGATACATATATGAAACCCTAAAGGGGTTGTGCTCGCTATAGAGTACCCCACTGCAGGCTAGAGAACAATAACATTCTGACTACTTGTCCTGGTTCCCGATTGAACAGGATGTCGTTATACACCTTATCGAGTGGTGCGTACGCGGGAGCGCTTGGGTTCTGATGTGGCGCGAATGGTCGATGCGATAAGTCGCCTTCAGGGCAGGTGAAGCACGTTCTTCGTGCTCGTTGAAGTTCTCGTCCGTCGGTCAGTAGGAGTGAGTCCTTGTCGAGTACTCCTGCTCTTATTGTATTGTTTAATACTGTGTTGCTTGGGTGTCCCATCCTTGCGTGCCAGGTGCTTGCGTTGGCGCGATGTCCGGGTGATCGTCGGTACATGTCGGAGTTGGAGTAGAAGCTGGCGGTGAAGTTGGCGCTGCGATGAACTTCTCGTGGTGCTGGGTGTAGTTGTTGCGCTGGTGTTGGTGGTGTGTCGTCGATGAGGAGTGGTGTCGTTGAAGGACCAGCAACTGGTGTTGACGTTCCTGTTGCTGCCGTTGATGGTTCTGCTACTGCCGATGTTGTCTCTGCTGCTGCCGATGTTGTCTCTGCTGCTGCCGATGTTGTCTCTGCTGCTGCCGATGTTGTCTCTGCTGCTGCTGATGTTGTTTGAATTGTTGCTAACGCCCTTGTTCTTTCTGCTTCAGGGATGGTGTGTGAATACCAGAAGCCTTCTGGACCGAAGTCTGGATCAAGGTCTGGAGGGTGTGTCCAATCGGTGAAGTTAACGATGGCGTCGTTGTCGGCAGTGCCAAGGTCAGGGACGAAATCAAGAACGAAGACGTTGTTCTTGAGGACCGCCCTGCAGATGTAGAGTCCTCCTCTCCCGTGATACAACTTGAATTCTTGAGTGATACTGTCTGCTTCGAGGTGAATCCCCTTCGCCATCAGCTGGCTGACGCTCAGTAAGTTGTAGCCGAGTCCCTCCGCGATTAGTACTTTTGACATCTGTAATACAACGTTTGTTTCCCTTGACTGAAGTTGAACTACGCCTTGTCGTCGTGTTCGCAGGTTTTGATTGTTGGCGACTGTAATGACGACTTCACGTTGAAGCTGGTGTTCTCGTTGAACGAAGCGTCCTGAGGAGCACATGTGCTGTCCGCAACAACTGTCCAAGAACCATGTGTCCCTTCCGGATGGTTCGCTTTGGGCGATGGCGGCGTATGTCGGGTTCGGCTGAAGTGACTCGCGGCGGGGTGTGGTTTCGTCGAGTTGTTGTTCCGGTGAGTAGTGTGGTGGTGACTCTGTGATGCAGGAGTCTGTTAGCTTTGCCATGCAGCTGACGATGTTTCTTGCTCCTTGCGCAGGTTGTCCTGTTGAAGTCGTTGAAGCTTGAATCTAAGTCGTGGGATTTACCTGCGTTGAGGCGACTTGGCTGCTTGAAGGTCGAAGTTGCCGCTGTGGGGTTGTTGATTGTTGACGATTCGGGCAGATCGTGCGCGGGTGTCCTGAAGTTTTGCAGATGTGGCAGAACGGAGGTACTGGCTTCAGTTGTTGCTGCTGGTTGTTGTTGTTGTAGCGTCGCTGGGTGTGGAACGCGAACTCTGGTGCTGACGTCTTCTTTCTGTGTCGTTCTTCTTGCAGGTCCATGTCTTGCTGCTCGGCATGGATTTCGGCGTAGAGCGCTGCTTCGGAGATTCTTCCGTGAGCTCGGAGGATGGCTTTTGTGGCGCGCCATTGAGGACCGAGGCCGCCGATGATGACTGTCACGAAGGCGTCTTCAGAAATCGACCCTCCGCATCGAAGAAGCTTGTCGCGCAACTCGCGACATCGACTGATATACGCCATTCCTTTTTCCCCTTGTTTCATTTCAACCGTTGTCAGTTGCGCCATTAACCGACTTTGACTTACACTGTCTGTTGCTTGATACAGGCTCTTCATGTGGTTGTACGCGAGCTCCGCGGAGTTACCGTAACCTCGGTAAGTCCTTATGTTCAGCTGTTGAGTCGGGGTGATATTTCTCAGTAGGATCGTGTACGCCATCATTGACTGATAGGTGTACTGCTGCTTCTCGTACTGTGTGCCATTTGTTGGGTATGGCAGGGACCCGTCGAAGAACCTGAGTATCTGCGCGCCTTCCATCATCAGCTCAAACTCGAACGACTATGTGAAGAAATCCTTTCCATCGAAAGGTCTTGACGTCTGCATCTTCAGAACATGTGCGAATTGCGAATGAGCTTGTAGTACGTCCAGTTGTTTTTCTTGTCCAGGTCAGGGCTGTGGGTGTGGCATGAAGCTGATGGATCCGCGCTCGTACGGAGCAAAGGTAGGCTGCTGTTGCTGATTTCCTCGTGCATACGATGAGCCGTCGAGACTCATGGGTGTTGTTCCGTTGTTGTTGCTGTTGTGTCATTGCGCAGGTGCCGATTGCTGGTGTTGCTCGTAAAAGGACATGAAGGAGAAAAACTTCTCCATCATGCTCTGGTCGAAGTCCGCAGGTTGATTTTCGGAAGTCTCAGTAGATGTTGCTCTGGGTCTTGTTGCCGTGCCCTCCTCTGTCTGTAGGCCAGAGGCAGGAGGTGGAGTAGGAGTAGTGCCCTGGGATCCGTTGGAGTTGCTCATTCCCTTTTGTGTAGCCATGCTGATTGACACTGTTGGTATATAAGTTGAATTCCCCCTGATAGCTCTCATACCATGTTGGGCTGAAAAAGCCCTTAGGATCTTTGCAGAGGTGAATTCTGGGTAGAGTTGATGTTGTAGCGAAAGCGTCTAATAAAGAGTTTGTGAACCACCTTGCGCTAGTATGTGAGGGCAAAGTGAATTGATTAAAGCAAAGAGATACAAGATTATATATGAATACAGGGAATATGAAGAGACACAGTTATAACTACTTTACTGTTGCTGTTGCGGTTCGATACAGTGACGACTCGGGCAACTGCTCTGTAACGAGTCAGTTGTGTGTCCTTGCTGTCGCGACGTAATTGTCAGGTCAAAGGTCGCTGACCTTTGACTTTCGCGTAACCTCCAGCGGTTGCTTCAACCTCCGAGGGTTGACTCGCTGGTGCCTCGATATGCTTTGCTTCACTTGTGCCTTAGTGTTTCGACACGACAGAGGCGCTTAGGAACGATTGTTTCCAACAGTTGCAAGGGGATCCGAACCAGCCTTGCTTGCACTTGTTGTACTGGCTAACCCCACGGCACGGAGTTTGTGCGTGCAAGGTGCTATCCTTGTGGGATGGTCCCACTTCCATCTTATCTATATTGAGTCTTCCTACGTCTAATCCACGGAGCTCTCCAAGGATCATACCGTATCTCCTGGCGTCTTATATATTCTGGTGTATTCCACGGTGATCTACCGGTATCTGTCGCTCGGAAACCACTATTACCGCACCCGAAACCTCTAGGGGAACAAGACACACCCAGCCAGCCGCCTCGTCTGGTCCGTGAGGACCCCACAGCGCACCCAGACGTCCGCTGCTCATTATCATCATACCAGCCATTCTTTCCCCATGCCCATTCCTCCAGCAGCCGTCCCCCTCGTTCCGCCAGAGCCTGCTGTGCGCTGTGCAGTCCTCGTTGCGCCTTCTCGCGCAAAGAGCGCCAGTGCGCTTCCGCCCCTCTGCGCGTTTCGTTGACGGCTTCGCGCGCAGCGCCGATCGCACGAGCTGCCTGTAGCTGCAGCAGGGACGAGTCGCACGAGTCAATGCGTTGACCTGTTGCAATAGCGAGTCCTTACAACTATAGCGAGACAAAGACAACGAGCACGTGCAACTATTGCGTCACTTGACAGCTAAAACAATGCCGGTAGTGATGTGTTTCACCCGGGGACCCAAGGGCCGTGCCACCACCGGCACCGCCACGCCAGCTGACGCCGCTCCCGCCTCAAGCAGCGCCGCGCGCCACGGGTTCGCCCCATTGTCGCCCGCATCCATCGCATCGCCGCCCCTCGCGCTGCTCCGCGTGCCCGCCTCTGGCTTGCCTCTCGTGCTGCCCCGCTTGCCCTCTCTCGCCCTCCCAAGCCCAGGACTCGCGGTTTATCAAGCAGCAGTGTGACAAGCAATTCAGCGTGCCGGGTGCTTCCCTGTGCAGCGCGGAGGGGAAGAAAAGACGGCTTTGAGCGGCCAGTTGACGACTGGCAAGGCGCATGGGTGGCACGGTTGGCGGCATCGTTGCCGGACGGGTGCACGCGGAGCTATGAGGCTTGAAGGATGATGGTTCGATTCAGTTCAGTAGAGGTTGGGGAGATGGGCGACATGCAGGGGTGGAGGGTCGCACGTTGATGCCCCCAAAACAGTCTTCCTCGTTACAACTTTCCAGGTACGTTCGAGCAAATATATTCCATCATTGTAAAATATATGAAACCAATGAATGAAAAACATATCATAAATTGCAACAACAATTGATTACCATGGTTATCAGCAATCCTACTCCAACGCCACTACTTGGGTTTCAACCAATTCGTTGACTAGAATGTGTGGGAGGGAGAGGTACGACCCCTCCAGCACCCGATCCCCATGCACCTGAGGGTTCGCCCTGCGCAGCGCCTCCAGCGGCACCTGCCAGCACGAGCGAATGCAATTCCATGGGCGGGTTGACTACAATGCTCGGTCAGAAGACCATCATACAAGGTAAGTGCAGCAGGCGTACGGAGAGGAGTCATGGGAAGTACTGCGTGGTGAAGTGTTATTCCTTGCATGCACCCCCCAGCCCCTTGCCTCCCCTCATCCACTCGCCTCCCCCCAGTTCAGCCCCTCCCGCTCAACCCCTTGCCCCTCGTGTCACTCGCCCATCACCTGGCATCGTTGTGAGATGCGCCACAGGCTGTCCCCTGCCTGCACGCGCACCCGTGCATCTGCATCCACCACCAGCGCCTCCACTTGCTCTCTCACCAACCCCCTCGCACCGCTCTGCACCGCAATCCCCACCGTCGCACTACGTGCCACCGCCTGCCGCCCGGCCTCGGCCACCTCCTGGACGGCGTCTGCCATCCCCTGCACCGCCCCTGCCACCTCCTGTGCCACCTCAGCGCCCACCGTGCTGGCGCCTGCTGCTGCCTCCTCCACTGCCCCCCCCACCGTGGCTACTGCCTGGCTGACCGATGAGTGCGCCTTCTCCACTGCGCGCATCACTCTCACCTGCGCCACAGTATTGAAACGACATGGCACCGAGATATGAGACTGGTGGTTTGTAGTTTGATTTGCTTGGTTTTGTTTTCATGTTTGTATGTGTCTCATTCTTTTCTCTCTTATTTTTTTTTTTTTTTTCCTTCAATTTCCCCCTATTTCAGGGCAAATTAATTCAATTAACCCACCGTGTCCTTGATTCCGACGGCAGTGAGCCTAGCAGTTTGCAGCACCTGCTGCTCCTCCGCCCTGTGCTTCACATGTCGGGCCACTATGGCTCCCACTCCCACCACCCCCACCACACACACAGCGCGCCACACCCCCTTGGGCACGCCCCACAGACCCCCTCCACGCGCAGGACTCCCATCGTCAGGCCCACCTTCGCCGCTTGTCGCCATGACTGTCTGCTAGGCTCTCTGGCTCATTGACGCATGCTTGTGTGAGTGGAACGAAGGTGGTGGTGGGCAGATAGCAATCGGATTTCATGAGGGAGGGGAATTCATTGCTTGGGTTGGCCATTCCCTGTCAATTCATGTTCCGCAGTATTGTTAGGTGGTTTGCGGTCGAGAGAGTTTTGAGCTGGGAACCGATCGGTACAGTGTACAAAGCTTTTGGACCTCATTCGACAATCTGCAGACGATGCGCAGTTCAGCTGGTGTAACTCGCCTTTTGACGAAAAGCTGTTTATCGCCACTTCAGTTCGGTTTGTTCGACACCTCAATTCAACAGCACAGCTCGAGTTCGCTTCACGTTCGTCCGCCACGTGCGATTTCGCATGCACGTGACGTCATTCCTATGTGGCTCCGTCCACTCTCCTTCCCGTTGTGTTTCAACGTCGCCACGCTGGAAACGAATTCTCTCTTTCCCGCGTCGCGTCACAGCGAACGTAGATTTCGAGGGAAGGACAATTTCCAATCAAGCGAACGCGCCGCAATTCCCCACTTGCCCGCAAATTCTCTCCTCTCCTCACTGACTCGTTCGTCCCTCGTTCTTGGCAATTCCCCCATCCTTCCATTTCTTCATCACACTCACGCTACTTCGTTCCGTGCTTTCTTTATCTAGTCTTTTAGAAGCGGGCGCCATGTCATGGCAGCAGAATAACACGTTCTAGTCGCCAACTCCTAATATTATCGAGTCACCATGTCTAGCATTCGGCTTATCCAGTCGCGTCAAGTGGTAGTGCCAGTTGCTGTCAGCGAACTGAGTTTGCCCGTCAGCAATTGCCGCTCAGCAGCGAGGCATAGGAGTGCCTGCTCGTTAACTTCGTCTATCTGTCCATGCGATCGCTTCCTTTCCCATTTAGACTTTGGAAACGCGGCACGCAGCCGCCAGTATCAAATAGTACACGCTTCCGCCACCCCATGGCGCGCAAGGAGCATTCCCGCAGCCACTTACGCCCCTACCCGCGTTCCGCTGCTTTCGCTCATTCCATTCCCCAATCCGCCCGCGCCTGTATCTCCTAATCGCCCTCGCCGCGTCGCCTGTCTGGCGCGCATGTCTGCGACAGGGCGGCGTCGCATTAGCGTTGTCGCAACGGCTTCGCAGCCTGCCGCGAGGGGTTCGCCTGCCGCGTCGCCTGCTAATTTGCCTGCTGTAAGCGTGGCGACGAGTGCGACGGAGACGACGACGCCGACGACGATGGACGGTCAAGGCCGTCCCAAGCCGGACCGCGAGGATTCATCTAAGCAGCTTCAGGAGCCCGGCCAGTTATCGGACGCCACATCATCATCAGAGCTGGCTGGCGCGGTTTTTGACGCCAAGTCAGCACGGAGAGGCCGCGTGGACGTATCGCGACATAATCTGCCCCTGAGCAGCATCGTCAACCAGGTAACGGGGATCGCCGTCGCCGTGGCGGTGGCGGGATGACAGCAGGCAGTCGCGACGATGTGAAACGATGAGAGGGTGAGAGGGTGAGAGGGTGAGAGGGTGAGAGGGTGAGAGGATGAGAGGATGAGAGGATGAGAAGTGGAGATGTCTAACATCTACTATTTCCTTTCTCCCTCCCTCTTTCCCACTATAGCGCCAACAATCTGTGTGACTGTCCCGCAACACCCCCCCCTCTCGCCTGCCCCTTCCCTCCCAACACCCCTCCTCGCCTGGCCCCACACAGCAGCGGAGCAGGCTCTACCAGCGGAGAGTCCTGACATGGGCGGAGCAGTGTGCGGGGTGCCGTGGTGGCCATGCCACGGGCAAGACGCCCCTCCGCCCTTCCGCTCCGCTCCCCTTCGCCCTCTCTTCCTCCTCCCTTTCCATCTCCCTTGCACTAAAGGCGGCGCTGCTGCAAGCCGCGCAGGCCCTCATCATTTCCTCCTTCCCTTCCCCCCTGCCCTCATTTCTCTCCTCCCTTTTCCCTCATTCCCCGACCCCCCTCTCCCCCCCCACCAGGCGGCGGTGAAGGAGGCGCTGCTGGCAGCGGCAGTAGATCCGGGGCTGGGAGGGGTGGCGCTGGTGGGGGGCCACGGCACGGGCAAGACCGTCATGGCGCGCGCGCTGCCCCTGCTGCTGCCGCCCATTGCCGTTGTTGAGGGCAGCTGGGCCAATGCGGACCCGCTCATGCCGGAAGAGTGAGTGCGGGGGAGGGGGGAGGTGGGGAGGGGGTGGAAGGGGGAAGGGACGGGGGAGTGGGGGCCTGGGGAGGGGAGAGGGTAGGGGGATAATGGAGTGTGCGGTTGGGTGCAGAGCTGTGATGGGTGCAGAGCTGTGATGGGTGCAGAGCTGTGATGGGTGCAGGCAGCAGTGCCGATGCGGCGTTGCTGGGCTTGGGATTGCAGCTCGCGCAGACGCGTGCTGGATGAGTGAGAGACATGGATGGGGGGGGCGCCATGTGTGACAGCTCTCAATCAATAACTCGTGGAGATATGCGCTAAATGAGTGAGAGAGGGGGAAGAGGGGAGAGGCGCGGGGAAGCGAGGGAGAGGGAGTGAGTGTGCATGCGTGGTGACGGACATGTGGAGGAGCGAGTGGGTGCAGTGGGGGATGCCTGCATGCAAGGGGTGGGATTATTGTGAACGACAGACGAGAGCGATGACGTGAGCATTTCAAGCGTTTCTCATTGGCTCTAGTCAGGTAGAGTGCACTTGGCAATGCATGTTCCCATCCATCCGTGCGTGCATGTGAGTGAATGCGTGCATGTGAGTGAATGCGTGCATGTGAGTGAATGCGTGCATGTGAGTGAATGCGTGCATGTGAGTGAATGCGTGCATGTGAGTGAATGCGTGCATGTGAGTGAATGCGTGCATGTGAGTGAATGCGTGCATGTGAGTGAATGCGTGCATGTGAGTGAATGCGTGCATGTGAGTGAATGCGTGCATGTGAGTGAATGCGTGCATGTGAGTGAATGCGTGCATGTGAGTGAATGCGTGCATGTGAGTGAATGCGTGCATGTGCGTGCATGAGTGCATGGGATGGGAGCAGGTGGGAGGAGGGGCTAAGGGAGAGCATAAGGGAGCGGGGGTGCGACGAGCACCATCCACCCATCACCCTCTGCAACCCGCCTTTTGTGCAGGTGGGTGCTGCACCTGCCCATGCCATGCCGTGCCATGCCATACCTTGCTTTGCCATGCCGTGCCATGCCATACCTTGCTTTGCCATGCCGTGCCATGTCATGTCGACTTCATGCCATCCTAAGCCCTTACCATGCCCACTCCAATCCTTGCCGCTCTTACACCTGCTCACACCGCATTGCACCCCTTGGTTCGTGTCCCCTTCTTCCCCCCCCAGGTGCCCCTAGGAGTGATGGAGGATGGGCTACTGGGGTCGGTGGACGTGGAGGGCAGAGGCCTCGCATCCGCTGTACCGCCTTGCACCCCCTCGCATCCCTCGAATCCATGTCCCCTGGTGCCCTCCCGTGCACAGGTGCCGCTGGGAGTGACGGAGGACCGGCTGTTAGGGTCGGTGGACGTGGAGGCGTCCATCCAGGCGGGCCGCAACATCTTCCTGCCGGGGCTGCTTGCGCGTGAGTCATGGGGGTCACGGATCATGGGGGTCACGGATCATGGGGGTCACGGATCATGGGGGTCACGGATCATGGGGGTCGCGGGGGTGGGTGAGGGGTGTGGGGGGGGGTTGAGGTGTTGAGGGGGCGAGGGGCGAGGGGCGAGGGGCGAGGGGGTGCGAGTTGTGTACGGGCTAAGGCTTTGTGGTGAGCGACGGAAGAATGGGTGAGAGCAGGATGGCGGGAGTGATGCACAGCGGGGTGCACAGCTGCGCCCACCACTGGCGTGGCAGCATCATTCGTGGCTCTCTCTCACCGCTATGCCACTCACCGCTATGCCACTCACCGCTATGCCACTCACCGCTATGCCAGCCCGGTCGCTGCCAGCCCGTCAGTGTGGCATGCGGTGCGAATCCCCCTTCACCCCTTTCACACCACGGCTGGCTTATCAGAGCGTGTGGCACCCCGCACACCCCGTGTTGTATCGTATCGTATCGTTCCCATGCCGCGCACCATGCAAGCAGCACGTCCATCCCATCCCATGGCGTGCCACCATGGCACGGCACAGCACGGCATACATTGAAGATGCCAACCTGCTGGACCTCGCGCTGGGCTGTCGAGAACTCTCCCCACTATCCGCTCCCCTTATCCCCCACCATGTCCCCACTCCTCGTGATGCCCCCCCCATTCCCAGAATGCACCAACCCCCCCCTTCCCCCCAACCGCCACGTCCATTCCATATCCTCCCCAATCCTCCCGATTCTCTCCACTTTCCCCTCCCCCTCCCATGACCCACGCGGGGTGCTCGCGGGGTGCTCTACATCGACCACGCCAACCTGCTGGACCATGCACGCACGCCCTCCCATGCCCCGCACATTCACCCCCACCGCACCCCACCGCATCGCATCCCCCTCCCGTCCTCCCATCGCATCGCATCGACCATGCCATCGCGGGGTGCTCTACAGCGATGCCGCCAATCTGCTGGATGATGGACGCAGTCCCTCCCACCCCCCGCACATTCAACCCCACCGCACCCCACCGCACCCCACCACACCCCACCGCATTCCACCGCATCCCATTTCCCCCCTATGCCCCCAGAGTGCCACCGTGGAGTGCTCTATATGGACGACGCCAGCCTGCTGGGCGACATGGTGGCGGCGCTGTTCTTCCCTCTCCCTCATGCTGGCGGCGCTGCTCTTCCCTCTCCCTCATGCTGGCGGCGCTGCTCTTCCCTCTCCCTCATGCCATCCCACAACGCCATGCATGCAATCCCTGCCACCCACCCACCGCCCATCGACCCCAACCGCACCCCACGGCACGCCACGCCCCCAGAGAGCCACCGCGGAGTGCTCTACATGGACGACGCCAACCTGCTGGACCATGCCCTGGCGCCGCTGCTCTTCGCCCCCACCACTCCCCTCGTATGCCCATATTCCCTCCATCCCCGCACTCCACCGCACCCCACCGCATCAGAGAGCCACCGCGGCGTGCTCTACATGGACGACGCCAACCTGCTGGACCATGCCCTGGCGCCGCTGCTCTTCGCCCCCACCACTCCCCTCGTATGCCCATATTCCCTCCATCCCCGCACTCCACCGCACCCCACCGCATCAGAGAGCCACCGCGGGGTGCTCTACATCGACGACGCCAACCTGCTGGACGACGCCCTGGCAGTGCTGCTCTTCGCCGCGCTCGCAGAGGGGTGCAGTGCGGTGGAGCGCGAGGGGCTGTCCGTGCGGCACGCGTGCCGGCCGCTGCTGCTGGCGTCGTTCAACCCGCAGGAGGGCGCTCTCAGGCGCCACCTGCTCGACCGCATCGCTCTCATCGTCAGGTGCGCTGGTGGGGTGGGCGTGGGGGTGGGGTTGTGGGTGGGGTGGGTAGAAGGGGAGGAACGAGGCGAGAGGGAAGGGCGCGCTGCGACAGCACGTGCTGGAGCGCATTGCTCTCATCGTTAGGCGCCAAGGGGGGTGGGGGTAGTGCGTTGATCTAGGCGCAGGTGGAGTTGGGGGGTAACTAGTGCGGTGATTGTGAGGTGCGAGGGATGCTAGGAGTGGGGGCTGACGGTTGTGCTACCCACAGGAAGGGGCGCTGAGACGACACCTGCTGGACAGCATCGCAGTCATCGCCAGGTGCGGTGGTGCGGGCGGGGGTCTGAAAAATGGAGTGTACTGCTCTGAACTGCTCTGATCATCAGGTGCCGTGGGGGAAGGGTGGCTATGGGGGGGAGAGGGAGGGCGGGGGTGGAAGGCGGTGACGCACTCATTCTCAAGTGGGTGAGTTGAGTGCGCACGAGGGCACGGAGAGGCGGGCAGCTGAATGCTCCCTAGTCCCCCCACACGTGGGTGGTGCTCTGGAAAATGCTCGCAAGGCACGGAATGTGACCATGTACCTCATTGCATGAGTGAACCTGCCTCCTTTGATGCTTGTTCAACACATGTGTCCCTGCATGTGCCTGACACGTCAGCACGGATGCGCCGCTCTCATTGGAGCAGCGGGTGGCTGCAGCTGACGTGGCGAACGCGTTTTTGGACGGCAGACTGACGGCTGGGGGAGGGGCGAGAGGAAATGTGGGACCCGAGGGGAAGTCGTTGTTGGAAGAGGAGAAGGGCGAGGAGGGCGAGGAGGGCGAGGAGGGCGAGGAGGGCGAGGAGGACGAGGAGGGCGAGGAGGGCGAGGAGGGCGAGGAGGGCGAGGAGGGCGAGGAGGGCGAGGAGGGCGAGGAGGGCGAGGAGGGCGAGGAGGGCGAGGAGGGCGAGGAGGAGGAGGAGAGCGTGGAGGAGGGGGTGGAAGCAGATAGGCTGCGAGTGCTGTTTGCACGACAGCTGCTGCCACGTGTCAGCATCTCACAGGCCCAGATTGCATTCCTGGTGGACGCTGCTGTGCAGCTGGAGTGCGAGGTGAGATGCGGTGAGATGCGGTGAGATGCGGTGAGATGGGGGAGTGGATGTGCGTTCTTTCCAAGCCTCTTATTTATCTCTCGTGCTTTCTCCTTCCTTCCTCCTTCCCTCCTTCTACTGCCCCCCTCTCCCGTCCTTTCTCCTCCGTCCATCCTCCCCCTGTGCCTCCTCCAACGTGCCCCCGCATCCTCTTGCACTGTGCCGCACCACGCTGCTTGCATCTCATCAACCACATACCGCACCTTCCACCCCCCACAAACCCCCCTCCGCCCTCCGCACCGCACGCCCCCCTTGTTGGTGGTGGCAGGGGCAGCGCGCGGAGCTGTTTGCGGTGCGCGCAGCCAAGGCGCTGGCGGCGCTGAACGGGCGAGCGCAGGTCACCCAGGCCGACCTCGTCCGCGCCGTGCGTGCTGCCAGGGGGGAGGAGAAGTGGGGGGGGGGGGTGGTTGGGGAGAGGGGAGGGGTGTGGGGGCTGGTGGCTCGTTTGGGCTAAGTGTGAGGGAGGTTGAGAGGGCGGTGGGGGGTGGTGATGGGGAGTGGGGTGTTGCAGTGGGGGGGTTATAGGGCAGTTGGGTTGCTGGTACAAGCAGGCACGTGTCAGCAGGTGAAAGCAAGGAGCGGCAGCGCTCAGAGGCCACTGGGATGCCAAGGGGTGGCACGTGTGGGGTAACTGTGAGGAGGCTGTTGGGGCTGTAGAGGTTGACAGCATGAGTGCTTGGCGCTGTAGAGGTTGACAGCATGAGTGCTTGGCGCTGTAGAGGTTGACAGCATGAGTGCTTGGCGCTGTAGAGGTTGACAGCATGAGTGCTTGGCGCTGTAGAGGTTGACAGCATGAGTGCTTGGCGCTGTAGAGGTTGACAGCATGAGTGCTTGGCGCTGTAGAGGTTGACAGCATGAGTGCTTGGCGCTGTAGAGGTTGACAGCATGAGTGCTTGGCGCTGTAGAGGTTGACAGCATGAGTGCTTGGCGCTGTAGAGGTTGACAGCATGAGTGCTTGGCGCTGTAGAGGTTGACAGCATGAGTGCTTGGAGGGCTGCCATCTACCCCATCTACCCTCACTCCCTGTCCCTTCCTCCTGCTCCATCCCTTCTCATCCCCACCCGCCCTCCCTCCCATAACCCCTTCCCTCCCCCTCCCGTCCCGAAACGCCCCTCTCTCATGGAGCAGGCCCAGCTGGCAATAGTGCCACGTGCCACGGTGGCATTGGCCAGCGAGCCCAGCAGCAGCCCGCCCCAGTCCGCCCGTGCAGCACCCCCTCCTCCCAGCAGGCGGGCGGACGACAGCAACGAGGAGCCACAGGAGGAGCAGGAGGGCGAGGTGAGCAGGGGGGCGAGATGAGCAGGGGGGCGAGAGCAGGGGCGGAGGGTGGGGTAGGGGGGAGGAAGTAGGAGACTAGGGGGTTGTAAATAGGGGCGGTTGACCAGCAGGGTAAGGGACGCCCCACTCCGTCCCTGCCCAGCCGTCGCCCCGAGGAGAGCAGCAAGGAGCCGCAGGAGGAGCAGACGAGTAGTGGGTTGGTTGGGGATGAGGGGGAAGAGTAGGGGCTAGGGTTGCAAGGAAGAGGGTGGAGTGGGAGGGGAAATGAGTGGGTGTTGGTGTTGGCATGGCTCGCCTGCAGCACGTGAAATGATGGGTGTGACAGGGCAGGGGCATGAATGGCATACATGGGGTGAGGTAGCACTGTATGCATGACATGACATGCTGCGAGAGTGTGTGGAGGAGTGGGGAAGCATGGAACGAGTGTAGAGCACGAGGCGAGGGACAGCATTGATATGAGGTCACCACCACCTCGCCACTCACCCCCCGCTCTGCCCTCTCCGCTCGAATGGTCCGTTTGTATTAATTAGCACTATGCATACAAGCATGCAAGGTTGATGGTGAGTCAATCATCCTACTCGCCACCCGCCTGGGCCACAAGGGGTCCAAGCGGGGGTTCTAGGAGTTGAAACAGGTAACCTTCATCTAGGGGTTCGATGGCATCCGCAATCCCAGCCTCGTCCGCCTGCCCTCTCCGCTCTGCCCCTCACCCACCGTGGTGGACGAGCAGCCAGTGGCGGCAAAGCCCCTCCTTCCCCCCACTCTATCGCCCTCCCGCCCTCCCGCCTTCCCGCCCACCGACCAGCCTCCCCCAGCATCCTTCATGACCGCAGCGGCGGCCTCTCCCCTGCGCACCATTCACCGTCCCCTGCCTTTACTCCTCTCTCCCCTCCGCACCATTCACCGTCTCCTGCCTTTACTCCTCTCTTCCCCCCACCCCCTTTTCCCCACTTCGCCCCAGGCCCGTGCAGTGAAGGAGGATGAGTAGAAGGGGCGTGAGTTGTCGTGGCAGAGGGGGACACACCTCGCATCGCAGCACCCATGAACCCTCTCCTCCCGTCACTCCTGCCCCCTTCCCCCCCTTTCCCCGTCCTGCCACAGCCGCCCCCAGTGGGCGAGGAGCAGGTGGTGCAGCAGAGGCGTGTCGCCCCAAGGCCAGTCTCCTCACCCCACTCCGCTCGTCCGCCTCTTCCAGCCACCCCAAGTGGACGAGGCCCACCCGCTGCCAGCATTCTTTGTAGTGACAGCACACGACACGCTCCTACCCTTCCCTCTCCTCCATCTCCCCTCTAGTTCCCCCTCTTTCTTCTTTACCTTCCTCCACCAACCCCCACTTCCCACAGCCGCCCCGAGTGGACGAGGATCAGCTGGTGCCGCCATCATTCGTCATGGCTGGAAAGAACACCCGTCTCCACGCCGCCGCCTCTTTCCTCTCTCTCATCCCCCCATCTCTACTCCCCTTCCCCGCCTCTCCCTTACTCCCCCCCATCAACCCTCGCTGCTCCCAGCCGCCCCCAGTGGGCGAAGATCAGCTTCAGTGTACGAGCGTCGTTTGAGTGGCAGCACACGACACTCCTCAAAGCACCACTGCACCCTCTCATACCGTCACTCCTCGCATTTCCTCCCATCCTTTCACTTGCCCAGCTGCCTTAAGTGGACGAGGATCAGCTGGTACCGGCGTCCTTGGTGGTGGCAGCAGAGGACAGCATCTCCACGCCGCCTCCGCCATCACTCCCATCTTTCCCCTCTCTCCCCTTCATTGGCCCCACCCGCCTCAAGTGGACGAGGATCAGCCGCCTCTCATACCGTCACTTCTCCTCGCATTCCCCCCCGTCCCTTCGCTCCTGCCCAGCCGCCCGAGGTGGACGAGGAGCAGCTGGTGCCAGCATCCTTCGTCGTGGCAGCGGAGGACACGCGGCTCGATGCCGCCGCCCTGCAGCTGTTCCAGCGGGCAGCGCGCACGGCGGGGCGGTCGAAGAATAAGATCTACTCGGAGGAGCGCGGGCGATACGTGAAGGCGCTGCTGCCCAAAGGGAAGGTGCGTGCTGCCCAAGGGCAAGGTGCGCTGCTGCTGGGGGGGTTCTGGTGGGGGGGTGCTGCAGGACGTGGTGATTCAGTGAAAATGAAGGTGGAATTGGTGTGGGTTGCGAGAAGGCGATTTGTGAAGGCACGTGCTCGTGCCATGCAAGGAGTGTGATGAAGTTTTGGTTTCTCTTCATATTCATTGCAGCTTTGATATGAAATTTTGGTCAGTGGGGCGGGTGGAGGTGTGATGAAGGGAGGGCGAGCGCCGTCCATGGCCGTGCTTGCTGCACCACTGCTGCTTCTGGGTGCAACCCATCCCTTGCACCCCTGCTCCCCGCCCTCCCCTTGTACCTCTTACCTGCACTCTGGGTCAGGCAGTTGGCCGCCAGGTGGGTCAGGCAGTTGGCCGCCAGGTGGGTCAGGCAGTTGGCCCCCACGTGGGTCAGGCAGTTGGCCCCCACGTGGGTCAGGCAGTTGGCCGCCAGGTGGGTCAGGCAGTTGGCCGCCAGGTGGGTCAGGCAGTTGGCCCCCACGTGGGTCAGGCAGTTGGCCGCCAGGTGGGTCAGGCAGTTGGCCGCCAGGTGGGTCAGGCAGTTGGCCGCCAGGTGGGTCAGGCAGTTGGCCGCCAGGTGGGTTGCGATGGTAAGAAGCACCAGTGCGTGCTGCTCACCTCTGTGTGCCCACCCACCGCCCTCAACACCGTCTCCCCCTTGCTCATCGCCCACCTCCCCACACACGCGTGGCTTGCACGCTACCACGCTTGCAAGCACACCAGGCAGTGTGTCTAGCTGGCCGCCGCGCTGCTTGCTGTGCCGCGCTGCTTGCTGTGCCGCGCTGCTTGCTGTGCCGCGCTGCCATTGCTGTGCCGCGCTGCCATTGCTGTGCCGCGCTGCTTGCTGTGCCGCGCTGCCATTGCTGTGCCGCGCTGCCATTGCTGTGCCGCGCTGCTTGCTGTGCCGCGCTGCCATTGCTGTGCCGCGCTGCCATTGCTGTGCCGCGCTGCCATTGCTGTGCCGCGCTGCCATTGCTGTGCCGCGCTGCCATTGCTGTGCCGCGCTGCCATTGCTGTGCCGCGCTGCCATTGCTGTGCCGCGCTGCCATTGCTGTGCCGCGCTGCCATTGCTGTGCCGCGCTGCCATTGCTGTGCCGCGCTGCCATTGCTGTGCCGCGCTGCCATTGCTGTGCCGCGCTGCCTCCAAGATCACGTTCCCTTCCCTCCCAACCCCTCTCGTCGCCTACATACTGTTCCCGTCCCCAACAGTCACCACCTCTTCCCTCACACACCACTACCTCTGCCACCACTACCAGTGGACGCCACACTGTGACTGTTCAGGTGCCTCAAAGCATATCACCGCGCCCCTTCCCTTCCCTCCCATCCTCGCCAGGTGGTGCGCCTCGCAGTGGATGCCACGCTGCGCGCGGCGGCACCGCTGCAGCGGGTGCGGCGTGAGAGGGCGGCGAGGACGGGCGGCAGGGAGCGGCGCATCTATGTGGACAAGAGCGACCTGCGGCGGAAGCTGCTGGCGCGGCGAGCGTCGTCTCTGGTGGGCGCAGGGAAGGCTGCATGCGCGCGTGGGTGGGGTGTGGGGGTGTGCTGCGTGCGTGTGGTGTGCAGGAGAGCCGTCATGCACCGTCGGGCATGGCAATCATGCAACCACGCCCACACAATCCAGCGCATGGTGCCCCAGTGATGGGCGCAGGTGGTTGGGCTGTTACGATGATGGTTGGGCCAAAGCTCAGGTGGTTGGGCCAAAGCTCAGGTGGTTGGGCCAAAGCTCAGGTGGTGGGGCCAAAGCTCAGGTGGTTGGGCCAAAGCTCGTTTCACGGCGTGGCGCTGCTGAGCGTTGGGTTGTGATTGAGCAGTGGTCACCACCGTGTACCATCGTTTCTCACCACTGCCTTGTCCATTCATTCCCGTGCTACCTGTACCATTCTACCAACTCTTCCGCTTTTCCTCCTTCACACCACATGGCACCTGCACCACATGGCACCTGCACTGCATGGCACCTGCACCGCATGGCACCTGCACCGCATGGCACCTGCACCGCATGGCACCTGCACCGCATGGCACCTGCACCACTTGGCACCTGCACCACATGCCAACACAGTCAATCCCCCCACGCCCTCCCCCCCTTCCCCCTCCCCTCCCAGGTGGTGTTCATAGTGGTTGGGAGTGGCAGAAAGGCGCTGAACCGCCCACCTGCACCATATGGCACCTACCCAACCCACCCCTCCCCTCCCCCTCCCAGGTGGTGTTCATAGTGGTTGGGAGTGGCAGAAAGGCGCTGCTGAGCCACAGTCGACCAAGAACCCCTCCACACACATGCTCACCTCCCACATCCCTACCCGCCCCTTCCTTCCAGGTGGTGTTCATAGTGGACGCGAGTGGCAGCACGGCGCTGAACCGCATGGGGGCGGCCAAGAAAAATCCCCCACACACACACACTCACCTCCCAAACCTTCCCTTCTCCCCTCTCCCCGTCTCCCCCCACCTCCCCTCCCCCAGGTGGTGTTCATAGTGGATGCGAGTGGCAGCATGGCGTTGAACCGCATGGGGGCGGCCAAGGGAGCAGCGCTGCAGCTGCTGGCGGAGAGCTACAGCAAGAGGGACAGCATCGCTGTCGTGCCGTTTCATGACCAGCACGCCGACCTGCTCGTGCCGCCCTCCCGCGCCGTCGCCCTTGCCCACAAGCGGTACGTGAGTAGTGGTACCACTGGGTTATTATGAGGTGCAGGAAGCGGTTGAGTGCGGTGAGAGATGGAGGGGAGCAGGGAGCAGCGCTACAGCTGTTGGCGGAGAGCTACAGCAAGCGAGTCAGCATCGCCGTCGTGCCCTTCCACGACCAGCACGCCCACCTGCTCGTACCGCCCTCCGGCGCCGTCGCTCTCGCTCACAAGCGGTGCATGCTGTGGGGATGCTGGGGCAGTGCGAGGTGGAGAAAGTGGTTGGTTGCGGTGAGAGATGGAGGTGCAGAAAGCGGTGCATGGAGCAGTTGTGCCATTGCCTGTCCGCTCTCTTGCGCTCCTGCCCTCTCGTCTCCTCACCCTCCATCTCGAACTTCTCCCATGCAACCATGTTCCTCCTTCCATACCCAGCATTGTCCAAGAGATCACGCAAGAATCATTTCTGTGTTGCACTTGTTTCCCACCATCCCCACCTGCTCGTCCTGATTTAATCAACCTCCGCTCTCCATCCCACCTGCTCACAGCCTGGAGAGTTTGCCGTGTGGGGGCGGCTCACCGCTGGCGCACGCGCTGGTGGTGGCGGTGCGGGCGGCGGAGGTGGCTCGGAGGCGCGGCGACGTGGGGCAGGTGGTGGCGGTGCTCATCACCGACGGCCGCGCCAACGTGCCGCTCTCTGCGTCGCTCGAGGCCCTGGAGGGGGGCGGTGGTGGCGGAGAGGGTGCGACGGGCGCAGGCGGGGAGGAGAAGCTTCCTCCTCGGCTTGAAGACATCAAGGTGCGCCGTGGGGCAGGTGGTGGCCGTGCTCATTACCAACGCGCCCCCCTCTGCCTCGCTTCATGTCCCCCACGGGAGAAGGTGCAGCGAGTAGCAGTGTGTTGGTGGTGGCAGCAAAGAGGGTTAGACGGGTGCAGGAGGGGAAGAGAAGGTTCCACCTCGCCTGCCCTGACACACCTTCTCCCCTCTCTTCTCTCCTCTACTCTCATCTCACCTTCCCTCCCCTCCTCTCCCCTCCCCTCCCCTCCTCTCCTCTCCTCTCCTCACTTCTCCTCTCCTCTCCTCTCTTCTCCTCTCCCCTCCTCTCTTCTCCTCTCCTCTCCTCTCCTCTCTTCTCCTCTCCCCTCCTCTCTTCTCCTCTCCCCTCCTCTCTTCTCCTCTCCTCTCCTCTCCTCTCCTCTCCGTACCTCTCATCTTGAAAAGATCCATCATCCATGCAAGGAATACTTATTCGTTTCACAACTTGCCAACCGAGCTCGCATCCCTTGCACCTTCCCCCCCACCTTCTCCCTTTTTACCATAGGAACCCCTTTTTTAATCCGCTGCTGCCCTTTCCCTGCTTATCCCCTGACGGCTGGCAGGAGGAGGTGTTGAGCATAGCGGCCAAGATGGGGGCAGCAGGCATACAGCTGCTGGTAATCGACACCGAGAACAAGTTTGTTTCCTCTGGCTTCGCAAAGGAGATTGCGAAACACTCTCAAGGTGAGTACTCTTAAGGCGAAGGTACACATTCAACTAGCCTATTTTTGTCAGGCATCTGGCAATAACTCTTCAAAGGTACTTGCACGCAAATGCGCTTCTTTCATGTACCAAACTCGTTTGGCAAGTGACGATCCTTTGCCTGGTTCGGACAAGTGTGCACCCTCATTACAAGCTAAGCACCCAAAGGTTATTGTGTTTGCCTCATCCTAAAATGATCTGCCATAGAGGTAATTTCAAGGTGCCAAATACTCGTGTTGATTTTTTGCTTAATCCCATTTTTTGTGCCAAACAGGAAAATACTTCTATCTACCACATGCAACCGTCGCTGCTGTAGCTGCAACCGCTCGTGCAGCTATGCAAGACTTCAGAAAGCCGTAGGAATTTGTACATATTACAGTTCATGTAGATGCTCAAGATTTTTTTAGCTAGTGTTACGGGTGCAATGAATCGAGGTAGCGAGAATTGCACTAAGGTGTCAAACGAGTACAAAATGTGAGCGAAGGCATGAGCGAGCATTTATACGCGAAACATGCAAAACGGTAACGCGGTGCGTGCGAACTTGCTAGTGCTACGCTGGAGCGAGGCTCGGGCTAGTCCCGAAGCGTAGGCCGATACGGCCATGCCAGCAGTGCGAGGTTTGGCAAAACAGTGCGCGCGAAGTCGGCGAAGTTCCGTTAGCAGTAACGGGCGAACAGTCGGCTGTTGCTGTACGCGATGTAGTCGGCTCCGTAAGGAATGCCTGAGAAAATTCCTTACACTACCCCCCCCCCTTAAGAAGCCCCCTCCGCTACGCGAGTGCGTGTATATCGCGGAATCCCCGGCTTCTCAAGTACACTTGCAGGGCAGGGTGATTTTCGATGTTGCTCAGGGGCACCCAGCTATCTTCAGTTGGCGTGCGGTCTTTCCAGCGAACGAGGAATTCAATCCTCCTGATTCCCGTGGGGTGGCGGATCCGATGGCTCAAAAATTTTTCGGGCTCGATGATCGGCTCTGATGCAGGGCGAGTCATTGATTGTGGCCGGTGACGCGGCAGTTGACTCGTGGTCGGGATGTATGGGCGAAGTAGGCTGACGTGGAACGAAGGGCTGATGTACCAGTCAATTGGCAACAGTAGGTGCGCGGTGACGGGTGTGATCATGTGACTGATTTGGAATGGTCCACAGTAGCGCGGTCGTAATTTTGGTACGTCGGGCAGTCGCAGATTTTGCGTGTCGAGTAGCACGTAATCTCCAGATTGATACGTGACGGGGCGGCGGTGGCGATCAGCGTTGCGCTTAGCGATGACGTTGGCCTTTTTTATTGCTTCGGCGGCTCTGGCGCGGGCAGCTTGCAGGATTTCGGCGAATTGTTGTGCGCGTGGCGTTGGGTTGTCCGGACTCGGCGTCATGGGCACTGTGGGGTTCTGCCCATAGTTCAGGTAGAACGGGGACTGCTGCGTCGTGGCTGATGTGGCGTTGTTGTACGCGAACTCGATCAGCGGCAGCTGCTGCTCCCAGGTCGTGGGGTCGTCGCACGTGGCTCGAATCAACTGCTCCATCGTCTGATTCGTCCGCTCCGTTTGGCCGTCGGTCTCGGGGTGGTACGACGAACTGAACTGTAGCCTGGTCCCGAACTGCTCCCAGAGGTTCTTCCAGAAGTTGCTGGTAAACTTCGTGTCCCTGTCGCTGATAATTGCTGCTGGTATCCCGTGCAGGCGAACAACGGCTGCGATGAACAGGCGAGCGGTCTCTTCGGCTGAGATCGACTTTTTGCACGCAGCGAAGTGTGCCATCTTCGTCAACCTATCCACGACGACCATCACCGCGTCGTTACCCCCAGGGTTCGAAGGTAACCCTGTGACGAAGTCCATGGTTACTTGCTGCCAGGCGCGTTCGGGCGGTGGGATCGGCTGCAATTGACCCGCCTTCCGCTTCCTTGAACTCTTCATCACCTGACACGTCGGGCACGAGCCCACGTGCTGCTGTACGTCGGTCAACAGCTCCGGCCAGTAATAGTACCGCTGCAGTTGCTGTCGTGTTTTTTCCACCCCGAAATGTCCCGAGGTAATCCCGTCGTGTGCCTCCTGCAGCAGCAGCTCCCTCAGTAGTGAGTACGCGGGTACCCAAATGCGGTTGGTGCCTGTTTTTACGTAATAAACTCCCTTTGCTTCTGCCAGTTGCTGTGAATTTCCGGTCGTGAAAAATGGGTCGGTGCGGTATCCGTGGGTGAATAGGCCAGTTAAAAGCGGGTTGGTCTGGGCGAGTAGGATGGCGTGGAGTTGGGCGGTGGGGCGGGTGAGAGCGTCGGCGATGTTGGATGCTCCTTTTTTGTACGTGACGGTGTAGTGAAAATTGGACTCGAGATAGTCCAACCAGCGAATCTGTCGTGGGTTGAGATTCGGTTGGGCGCGAAGGTACTGTAGCGAGCGGTGGTCTGTCCGTACTGTCACGTCGGCACCAGTCAGGTAACATCGCCAAACTTTGAACGCGTGCACGATCGCTAGCATCTCGCGGTCGTGTATCGGGTAGTTACGTTCGGGCGGGTGTAACTTGCGGGACTCGTACGCGATTGGCTGGAGGCCATTCCCGAAATCCTGCAACAGTACTGCTCCCACAGCGATGTCACTTGCGTCGGTGACGAGCTCGAACGGACGGTGGGGATCTGCAATGTGAAGGACGGGCGGGGAGCACAAAATATTTTTGAGGGCCGAGAAGGCAGCTTGCTCTTTCTCCCCCCACGTGTACTCAACCCCCTTCCTCAGCAGGTCAGTCAACGGGGCAGTCAGTTTCGCCATGTCGGGGACGAACCGGCGCACGTAGTTGACGAACCCCAGGAAACTCTGCAACTCGGTCAAGTTGGTCGGCGCGTGCCAAGCCTGAATCGTCGCAATTTTCTTCGGGTCTATTTCCACTCCTGCAGCTGAAATAACATGTCCCAAAAACTCCAGGCGGTCCTGTAAAAACTCACACTTAGATGCTTTGGTCAGTAGGCGGTTCTCACTCAGGATTTTAAAAACTGCTTCGATGTCTTGTAAGTGCTGTGCTCTGTCAGGGCTGTAAATCAGTATGTCGTCCAGATAAACGATGACGCACTTATCTAAAAGCGGGCGGAATGCTTCGTTCATGGTCATTTGGAAAGTGGCGGGGGCGTTGGTCAGTCCGAATGGCATGACGGTGTATTCGAAGGATCCGTAGCGTGTTCGGAATGCGGTTTTAGGGCAGTCGGGTGGGTTGACGCGGATTTGGTGGTAGCCTCCTCGGAGGTCGATTTTCGAGAAAACCCGGGCTGTGCGCAGTTGGTCGATCAGTTCGTCGGCTCGTGGGATGGGGTAACGGGATTTGATGGTAACCCTGTTCAGTGCCCTGTAGTCGATGCACATGCGAAAACCCCCGTCCTTTTTCGGTGTGAACAGTATTGGTGCGGCGAAAGGCGACGAACTAGGGCGAATGAATTCCTTTTCTAGCAGGTAATCGAGCTGCTTCCTTAGTTCGTCTAGTTCGGGTTGGGTCAGTCGGAACTGTCGCTGTACTGTTGGCTGTGCCCCCGGTTCCAGTTCTATCCTGTGATCGTGCGGTCGCTGAGGTGGCAGTCCCGTCGGCAGGTCATCCGGGAAAATGTCACTGTACTGTTGTAACAGTGCCGCCAGGTCACTCGGTACGTCGGTCAGCAGTTTCTGTAAATCGCCTCCCTTGTCTGCTGCCTCGGCTTCCCGAATGTCAACCGCGTACACGTCGGCTCCGGCCGCAACAGCGCGTTTCATCGTGATCGCGTTGACACGCACCGACGAAGACTCAGGCGAGCCCCAGCGAGGTAAGGCGATGCTGTTACCGTTTACTCGCACGGTGCAGTCACCCGTCGTCCAGTCAATTCGCGGGTTGTGTCGTCGCAGCCAATCACGCCCGAGTAAAATGTCGGTTCCGTCGAGGGTCGTTGCGAGCATTTCCTGACTAAACGTGAAGTTACCCCCGCATCGAATCCGAACTCGGTCTACGCGTTCCCGTATTGCCAGCGGCGTGCCGTCTACCAGTCGTGCGTCGATCTCAGGTAAGCATCGGTCCATTGGCAGTCGCAGTTTTCGTGCTGTAGCAGTGTTAATGAGGCTGTGGCTGGCTCCCCCATCTACGAAGATTTTAACTAAGTCCGTCCCAATTTTCCCACTGAGCAGTATAGGGCTATCTACCGTGGTACCCTCCTTATTCGGCCGGGTGTGGTCGATTGCGTGAACCGGCACAATCACTCGGTGAGGGTCGGTTGGGTCGGGCGAGCGGCGTGACCTGTCAGTAGAGGGCCCGTCTGCTACTGACTTCCAGCGTTTCCCTGCTGCTTGGTCTGTGTCTGCTGCTCAGCTTCCCCCTTTCCCTTAGCGTTTTCCGGGCATTCGCTCTTGCGATGTCCCGGCCGATTGCACGCAAAGCAGCACCCTTTGAACGGTGCGGCAGCGGCATTTGCGGCGACGGCGCGTATCGTGGCGCTCTCGTTCGTCCCACGAGGCCGATGTCCCCAGGTGTTGTTTCCGTAGGACCCCGGTCTCGGTCGGCGAAAGAAGTCGAGCTTCTCCGCCATAGCGAGAATTTCCTGAAACTCAGTGACGCCGCGAAGCTGGATTTCCTGAGCGATGTCCTGCTTCAGGCCGCCGATGTAGCGGTCGATGCGTTCGCTCTCATGCATGTAGCCCACCTGCTCGCATAGCGCCAGAAATCCGCTCGTGTAATCCTGGACGGAACCGAGTTGGCGCCAAGTGCGGAGCTTCTGTCGCGCCGAGATCGAGGCCGCGATTGGCTCAAATCGAGCGCGCAGACCTGCGCACCACGCGTCCCACGTGCGATACTGGGGCACCTCCACGAAATACGACGGCGCCCAGGGTCCGGTTTGTCCTTCCCGTGTCGGTAGTGTCGCGTAGTCGGTCGGCTTCGTGACGATGACGCGCCACCAGTCCATGGCGGGTCCTCGCAGCAACGACACGGCGTATCGAATCTTCGCCGAGTCCTCCGAGACGTAGTTGGCGTCGAAGAAAACATTCATTGTGAATAACCAC